GGTGGCCCGGAACCCGGAACCCGGAAACCGGAATCCGGACCCGGAACCCGGAACCCGGGACCCGGAACCGGAACCCGGAACCCGGAACCCGGGACCCGGGACCCGGAACCCGGGACCCGGGATCCGGAAACCGGAACCCGGAACCCGGGACCCGGAACCCGGGCCCCGGAACCCGGTGTTGTTGTTGTTGTTGTCGTTGTTGTTGGTGGTGTTGTTGCTGTTGCAGGTGTTGTTATTGTTGTCGTTGTTGTCGTTGTCGTTGTAGTAGTAGTAGTACTAGTAGTAGTAGTAGTAGTAGTAGTAGTAGTAGTAGTAGTAGTAGTGGTTGTTGTTGTTGGGGTTGTTGGGGTTGTTGTTGTTGTTGTTGTTGTTGAGGTTGTTGTTGTGGTTGTTGTTGTTGTTGCCGTCGTTTGTTGTTGTTGTTGTTGTGGTTTTTGTTGGTGTTGTTGTTGGTGGTGTTGTTGCTGTTGCTGGTGTTGTCGTTGTTGTTGTTGTTGTTGGTGGTGGTGGTGGTGGTGTTGCTGTTGCTGGTGTTGTTGTTGTTGTTGTTGTCGATGTCGTTGTCGGAACCCGGGACCCGGAACCCGGGGCCCCGGAACCCGGAAGCCGGAACCCGATCCCGCAGTTCCCGGTTCCGGTTTTGGGGGTTCCGGGTCCCCGGTCCGGTTCCGGGTTCCGGGTCCCGGGTCCCGAATTCCGGGTCCCGGGTCCCCGGTTCCGGGTCCCGGGTTCCGGGTTCCGGGTGCCGGGTTCCGGGTTCCGGGTTGCGGGTTCCAGGTTCCGGGTTCCGGGTTCCGAGTTCCGGGTTCCGGGGTTCCGGGTTCCGGGTGGGGGGGGGGGTCCCGGGTGACTGGCGACGAGAAAAGCGACATTATGCAAGCAGTTGACGATGATCTTCTTCTGGTAGAACACTAGGTCCACTCCAATCACCGAGTTGAACTCCATTTGGCGAGAAAGGTGTGCAGGACGATGCGTTCCGGGTCGTTTCCTCTTCTCGCATATTGGACATGAGAACCGCATTTTGGTCCATTTGATGAGATCTGGACGGACCCGGGCATTGCGAAGAGCTCGGCAAAATGTTCCTAGGTCAGGATGGCCCAGGTTCCGATGTAGTCGATAAAGTTCACGACGAAGCTCGGGAGGAGGATCGACAATGTCTGTCTCACTGCCACGGGTGCGAGGATCCGGAACGGGTCCCACTCCCAGATCTCGAAGTTCCTTGCGAACCAGTGCTTCATCTCCCTCTTCCGGAAGTTGTAGCGGTGGAGGCTGAAGGGGGGGACTGTCCAACAAGTCCTCGACTTCCGAAAGCGTTGGGGAGCCCACTTCTTCCCCATCTGGTGGTGCATTTTGCGCCGCATCGCTTGTCGTAGTCGTAGATCTGGAAGCGCGCCCCTCTAAAATTCTGTGCGACGGAAACATGCACAACCACTCGCATTGAAAGGCAAACTCCTCGGACTGGTGAGCGAAGAGGGCGTGCGCGGCGGCCTTTGCAAGCCATTCGGCGTAAACAACAAAGTGGGAATCAGCTCAAAATGTGTCGAGCCGGTCCAAAACTGCAAATCTGGGCCCGCCGTTGAGGTGGAAGTCCATGTGTCCACCACCACTTTGGCAGGCTTGCCCACGTAGTCCTTAAAGGTTGTACGAAGGCCAGAAAACTTCACGTTGATGAGGTCGAAGCACTGACACTGGTGTGGGCTCACCGCCTCACGACGTGGCTGAAAATGGCGGCAAACCAGCTCGCCGCAACTCCATTCCCAACGATCTGGTAGGCCGAAAACAGGGAAATGCTGACGTTGTATATGTCGTCGAAGGCCTCTCAGAATGTGTTCCGCGAAGTCAGGCTGTGCGACCTGTGGCGGAATGGATCCTGTGGCCTGAAGGCTGCGATTATGCATTGCAGAGACCACAGAGTCCACATTGGTGACCAGAACCGAGCATGGAGGGGATCCCGCAAAGAGAACTTGTAGCACTCGCGGATCCTCCAAAAGTGGTCGTAGTCCGGAAAGTCGTTCTCGGGTCGGGCACGCAATGAGAAAGCCTCTGCCGGCTTGTAGTTGGATCCGAGCCAGCTGCACCACGAAGTCCAAATGCGGCCCCGACTCCGCGAGGTCAGGTCGATGGCCCAACCAAAGAAGGGCTGGCCGGTGTTCCGCCACAAGGCGTAACGCTTCTCCGCGATGTCGCCCTGTGGTGGCAAAGTTCCAGCCTGTAGCCAATTCCATGGCCTTCCCAACATGCCACCCCAGTTGTCGTGCCTGGTCTCGAAAATTTGATGGTGACACCGAGCCGCCATTCTCGCAGGTAGTGGTATTTAGAGCCTCCTTTAGGAACTTGTTGTCCATCTTGTCCAGGATGTCTTTCTTGCCGTGTGAATCCGCCAGCCAATTCACAAAGGAGTCATCCTTCGCGTAGACATAGCAGTGGACATTCTGGCCTTCACCGAAAGGTTCATGCCGCTCTCGATCCAAGAAGTTCCAGTTGCTTGCATGAGGCTGCCATACCGCATGCTCGCGAGGAGGGCCCAACAGCGGATACCAGCCCGGAGCCTCCGTGGACGCCAACGAAAAGAGCGCCATCATGGCCGACATTGCCCATCCCTTTCTCTGTAAGCATGAGTTCAAGATCTGGATGGGTCGGCACCTGGACTCCTTCAAGTCCCGGCCGTTCGCCAAATAGCTTCTCATTGAGGCGGTATGACGGGGATCTCCTCCATTTCCTCGTCGAAGCTCTCTTCGTCGGTGTAGATCTCGTGGATTTCGGTCTCCAGGTTGTGGCGGCCCGTAGGTGTTTTCGCCCTTCGCGTAGGTTCGGCTCCTCGAAGACTTTCGGGGGAAATGTCGCCGTAGCTGCCGTGGAAGAAGGAGTAACTCCAGTGACCTTGTTCGTGAAAGTTGTAGTCGAGGTCGACGTCGCCACCCTCGCTCGGCCCCCTGCTGCCACTGTCACTTCCCGAGGTCCTTGTTCTGGTCGTCCCCGAGGGGCTGGAAGATACTTGGGGAAAGCTCGCCCTCGACGATCCACCACATTCTTCGCATTCTCGGAAGTGTACTCGGGCACCTTTACGTCCTCCCGCGTGTCGTCCAAACGCGCCCATCGGCTTCCGCATCGAAGACATGTCCACCACTTCGACAGACGATTGGCACGGCATCTCATGTGGTCCGGGCCGTGAGGACATAGTCCCGGTTCGCACTCCCACTTCTTGTGGCTCTGCGATCTCGGCAGAGGTTCTCCAATGCCTTGGTGGATTGGCCCGGATGTCGTGGCCCGTTGTTTCGAGGAACTCGCCGTCGAGGTGGTTTTCTCCGGATGGATCTTCTCGTCCTTCATCACGATGTAGTCCGTCACCATTTGCCGGCGCGCCGTCTCCAACATGAACATGATCTGCTGAACCATCCTCTTCCAAGCCTGGTCCAACTTCTTCACCGGCGTTCTTTTCTGAACATGATCCTCCGGAGATTCCGCCGCCACCAGCCGCTGCACCTGCGAAGCCAGGCTTGCCATGGTCGCGAGACTTCGTGGGGAGAGGGCGACGGTTCGAATTCAAAACCCAAATCGCTGCTCGAGTGAGCATTTGCTTGAGCATTCTCGGAAGGGAAGACGACTCATCGTGACATGCAACGCTTTGATCAAAGCTGGCTTCCATGTCCCATTCGCAAGTCGATTCAGGCTGAACCTCGTCGAGCTCACATGTAGACTCATCCCAGGCCATGTAGCAAGATGCAATCAACCCCGGAAATCCCAAACCTTGCAACTGCGAAACGATGTTCATGTCCATGTCAGGAGCAGATCGGGCCGTGTACAAAGTCACTGAAATTCTTTTGCCCGTCCATGGCATAGTTCCGTGGGTCGTTTTGGGGTCGAATAACGTAGGTTTGTGATAGACCTCCATCACGCGCCCAGGAACCTTGACACCCTTCCTTATTTTCCACTTCACATCCGGAACGCTCTGGGGGTCAACGCCTGGAGGTAGCTCCAGCCACAGACCTCCGCCTTGGAAGGTTCCGAAAGTCGCAACCACATTGTGAGACTCTATCAAGTTGTGACAGTCCCGGTGGAGCTTCGAGGCCATGTTCACGTTGATGCTGAAGGAAGTCCACGACACACCTGGGATCTCAGTGGCTTTCTTAGGGAACTTGCTGCAGAACCACGCATTGATGTACTTCACAAAGTTCGGCATCTCCAGGGTTGCCCGCGTGATGCCAAACATGTTGCCATGCGCGTACAGACCGAAAGCCAAGGCGCCCGCGTCCTTTCGTTTAGAAATCAGGACGTCCCTGGTCCCGGTGCCACGGAAAATCACCAGGGTCAGCAGCTCCTCCATGGCCTGAGGGGTGAAGTTTCTCTGGTCTAGCAGCTTTCGGGCTTTGTTGTCCGCCTCGCTCGGATCTTTGAACGCCGCCCATGTGTCCCGAGCCTCGGATGTCGACGCCTTAGCCGTCATCGAAGAAGTCGTGGACGAAGAAGACGAAGCAGCAGCGGGGGTCGCCGACGAAACCAAACTGCAGGACGTTCTCGCGGAAGACGAAGTAGCTGTATAGGGGTCACCGGCGAACCCAAACTGCCGGATGTTCTCGAGGAAGACGGAGCAACGACATCAGCTACCACATCCTTCCCCCCAAAATTCTGCTCGAGAACACTGGTGTAGAGCAGCTGAAAGGGATCGGCTTGTTCACCGCGGCATTCAACAGGAAGAGCCCAGGCTTGCTCGCCAAATTCCACGATGCTCACAGCGCGATGGCCTGAAGGCAACCGTGTCATAGACGAACAATGGCCGTCCGGGGTCCGCAGCTCCTCTGTGGACAAGTCGATGATCGAGCGGATCGCCTCCAAGAAGGAAATGGGTGCCTGCCACTCCCACGGGAGCATCCACAATGCGCTTGATGGTGGCCTGGCCACCAATCCCCGCGCATGGCACCGCCTCCGTGGAGGGGACAACCACCGACCGTAGTCCGTGTCGCTGGAGCTCTTTGTCAAACCTGGCCATAGCCCTTTCACCAATCACGGCGTCCTCGGCGGCCGTGTCCACAAGGGCCTGAGTGCTCGAAACTTGAACCCCAGCGTAGATGGCCAGGATCCTGTCGGATGGCACCCTGCACGAAGTGGCATAGCCACGCTCCTTGCGACGATTTTGTAGGTCTCGTCGAACATCGGCATAGGCACTGTGGTAAGCCTGGATGTACACGGCTTCGTCTTCCGTGTACTCCTTGTCCTCAAACAGGTACTCGCCGTCGGCCAACTCCATCACCTCATCGTCCGAATATTCCTGCTGGGATTCCTCTTCTTCACCTTCCTGGCCTTGCTCCCCGTCCAGCTTCAGGACCGGATAGTGTTTAGCCGCTTGGACGCCCAATTCCGCTCCAGCAGCCTGAGCCAGCAATTCCGGTCTGTCCAACGGGCGTAGCAAGGCGATCACTTGATCGAAGGTCCACATTTGACCCTGCTCTTTCAGCGCCATCATTTCCCTCTGAAACTCCGTCAAATTGGCGTGTCGAAGAAGAACCCGTCCTGCCACTCGTTCACAAAGTCTCTCCTGTAGGTGGCTCTCCATTTCCTGACGTGCAACCTCTTTCGCCGCGATGTAGTTCGCGAAGCTCTCGCCTTTGGCCCTTTCTCCATGATACAGAAAACGATCAATGGAAGTGGGCCCCGCCACCTCCAGGTATGGCCGATATTTTGCCAAAAGGGCACTCAACACCAAGCCGTAACCTTGGATCGTCAGGAGGTCGTTCATCGGCACCTGGTCCGCGATCTTACGTGGCTGGGAACCTTCAGGAAAGCTTTGGTAAAGCCTCAAACCCCATCGCTCTTTTGGCACTGTAGTCTCTGTTTCCCAGTAAGCCAAAAGCTTAAGCCAAGATCTCATAGTTCCAGGCTGTCCCGACCATCCTGGGATGGCCTTCTTCTCGCCCGTGATCGCCTGAATGAATCTCTCACCTTGGTCCACCGAGGCGTTCTTGAGAACAGGCGCTTTGAGGCCCAACATCTCGAAGGCAGTATCCACTGACTTGGACGGGGCAGAAGATCCTGACACATCCAAGGACTGGGCGGCTGCAGCTGCTGATGAGATCGGAGGTATGCCGGGAGGCATGCCAGGTCTTCGTCCTTCGGTGGAAGCTGTCGAATCTCCCAGTCGAACAGGAGGCGTTGTCCCGAACATAGGCCTTGACAGGGAGGGCATAGTGCTGCCAAGTGTGTTGTTCCTCGGCTCTCCACTGGCAGCCCAACTGTCGATATTGCCTCCGCCGAAAGAACGAGTAGTAGGCGAACTTCCGAAAGTCGTCATCGCTGGAGGGGTACACCCGAATGGTGTCATAGCTGGTGGCACACTCCCGAACGTTGTCATCGCTGGTGGGGTACTTCCGAACGGTGTCATAGCTGGTGGCACACTCCCGAACGTAGTCATCGCTGGTGGGGTACTTCCGAACGGCGTCATCGGAGTTGACCCATTCTCAGCGAGATTGTTCGGACCATAGGCCTGTCCATAAGGAGAGGCCCCACACGGAAAACCTTCTTGAAGCCTGTTTCCAGAAGTCACTTGGGGATTCAAAACCAGACCTCTGCGAGAGTGTAGGGTAGCCCACGAGTTCCGCAAAGGGCTCGCATTTGAAGACATAGCTTCCCCAGGAAGCGCGCTGCCAAAGGTAGGGGTAGTAGGAGAAGACGTCGATCGCCCTGCGTCGTTCATAGAGTCGTAGTCGCTGTCTCGCCGTCT